CCTCGTGCGCTCGAACCAGCTGCGAAAACCGAAGGTGCTCCAGGATGAAGTCGGGGATCGGGGCGATGATGCCAGTGTCAAGGCGGCGCTGCCGCGGGCGATGCGACCAGGCAACCGAGAGGATGGCGTGGTCAGAGATGTCTTGGATGCGCAGCTCGCGGGGTTCGTCATGCACCTGGGCATGTTGCCAAGCCTGGGCCAGCAGCCACCTGGGGGCGCCAAACCAGACCTTGTCGATAGCGGTGGCGAGCCGCCGTCCCTGATGCCAGCGAGTGGGCTTCACTGGGGCCATCTCCGTGGCCGAGCGGAAGGCCTGCTGCCGGCGCCGACCGCGCGGATGACGGGCAGCGCGAGGGCCGCCACCAGGGGCCAGGGGATCCTCCACCTCTGCATTCTCACCGTAGTTGAATTCGCCCGTGATGACCACGAGGTGCTTGATCGGGTCGGCCTCCATGCATTGAAGGTCTTGACGAATGGCAGCTGCCACACGTGCCACCTGTTCACGAGAGAGGTCGTGGTCATGCACGTTCCAGTGGGTCAGGGAGTAACCTGTATCCGCCCCAGCTTCAACAGTGGCACTCACCCGCAAAACTCTGGCACGCGCATCTACCCGTTGACGAAACGCGAGCTCGGGACGGGGCTTGAAAGGGAACACCGTGGCGACACCTCCCAGCGACTCTCGAAAGCGAGAGGGCTCGGGGGAGCCGCTGGCGAAGCTCGAGAAGACGCAGTAGTCCAGACCCGTGCGATCCACTAGAGCACGCAGACGCACGGCCGACCCGTGGACCTCCTGCATGCTGAGGATCGCCCCTGCACGGAGCCTGGACTGGATGTACTCAACCTCCTTCGCCGCCGTCTCCTTCTCCGCGGCCGAGTGCCCAGTGACGGCGAACTGGATGACCTGGCGGTGGGTGAAGTCGGTGTTGTTCTTCTGGATGGAGAGAAACGTGGCACCACGCTGGCGCTTCTGCATCAACCTCCGCGTGGCTTGCTCACCATCGACCTCCTCGTGCGCGGCGAAACTCTGCCTCTGCTCTTCCGTGTGCCGCGCCTTGAATTGATCTTGCGTCAACGTCGGGATCGTCCACGGCCGTCCTGTCGGCCACTTGGCCACCGCGTCGGACGTCGCCTCGGCCGCGGCGTCAACCTCCAGCTTCTTGGAGGCCCCGTTGCGCCCCGCCGCCTTGCCGTCTACCACCTGCGCGCGCCGCGCCACCTCGGGGGGGTGGAACAACGCCCCCGCTAACTCGTGATCCTCGCATCCTTCTCGCCCTCTCCTCCCGATAAGGCTGATCGGGAATAGAGGTTGCCTACTCCTTCTCCGCCTCGTCAGTTTAACTTCTCCTCCTCCACGTGGCCCCTCTGGCTTCGTTCTTTCCTTGCCCCCTGCCCGGCATGTGCCCCCTCCTCCTCGTCGCCCTCCTCCCCCCGTTCGCTGGCCCAGTGCGCCGGGCAAGGGTCTGCGTCGAAGCGCGTGCGGCTTCTTGTCGTCGTCGAGGTCGATCTCCGACATGGAGTTCTCGACCGCCCGCGCGCGCCTGCTGCCCGCCTGGGCCCCGGGCCAGGTGATCGCCTGCGCCGGGGGGGGCGGGGGGCTTCAGCGGGCCTCGACGGGTCTCGACGGCGGCGTTGAGACCCATTGAGGCCCGTCGAGGCTCGTCGAGGCCCGCTGAATGACGATGGGGGATGCGGCTGAGGTTTGCCGCGGCGACGCCGGCGACGCGTCGCGCCTCGTCGCGCGCAGGTGCTTGCTGTTGGCCTCCGCCCAGCCCCTCTGCTCGCTCTCGCCCGTCATCCACTGCTCCCGCATGTTGCCCGCCGCCTTGAGCGTGGCTCCGCGCGCCATGCGCCGCGGCAGGCCAAGCGGCGTCGCCTCTCGGATCGGCGGGGGCGGCGATCGGAAGGGGGCGGAGAGAAGGGGGGGCGGGTGTGTGCGTGTGTGTGTGGGGGGGGCAATGCATGATTTATCCTTGATCCTCCCTCCGCAACTGGTGGCTCGATCAACGCGGCGCGCGCCGCGAGGGCCCTCTCGTCGCGGCAGCCCCTGGCGAGACCCTGCCGGGGCCAGCCTCCAATCAGTGCCGCAGGGGGGCTTTTCAACAGAAGTTTGCTTCTTAGAGCAGGGGGGCAAAACCAATGCACGAACGCGGACATTCGGAATTCTGCGCGCGGGCGCGCGGGAGTGGCAGCGCCATTGCAGGGCAAGCGGCCAGGTTTTATCAGCTGCGCGACGTTGTCGGCCAGCTCGGAGGACGGGGGCGCGATCAGTCTCGCCGCTGCCGCCGCCGCCGCGCGCCGCGGCCGAGCGCCCCGGACTGGGTCGGGGGGCGGGGGAGGGGCTCGGAATCTCGATCCACAGTGGCGGAGGGGGCAAGGAGCAGGAAACGAATGTGATATTAAATGCCGCCCTCCCTCCTCCGCCCGCCGACCTCCTGCCTCCACCTCGCGCCCGTCCTGCCCGTTCTCTCGTCTCAACGTGGCCCCTCGTTCGCTCCCTCCTCGTTCTCCGCCTTTCCTACGAGCCCTCTTCCTCCGCCGCCCCCTAAGTGTTTCTATCTCGCCCGATCCCCGCCAATCGGAATCTGAGTGCTGGGGTCGCCCTCGCGACAGGGCCCGACCGAGTGGGGATGGCGTCGGGCCCCCCCCTGGGGCCGCGGACTGAAACTACCCTGGCGAAGGGCCCAACCGTGTGCAAATATTAGGGCCGCGTTGCGATGCCGCCCTCCAGTCGGCCAAGGGAAATCGGCTCGGGGACAGGACCCAATCGTGGATGATGCAAATGGCGGGCGAGCGCAACAACGCATTGAAACATGACCGCATCCCTGTGATACGCGAAAGAGATACTCGTCATGTCGGGTCTTTTCTTCGGGCGCTCTAGAACACATGAGGAATATGCCCATGGTGTTGGATCACATGCAGCTTCCGAACACGATAATGCTTGGCACGCATGACTCATATATAGAAACACACAACTAGAATGAACTATGCATGGCCTAAACTCACAGATCTTAAATACATGGTGAGATCTTAAAGTTGTACTTATGTATGATCATATGATACGATATCAGAATTAAGATATGGAGTGCCTCTGGGTAGTCGCGGATACGAACGAGCAGTGCGTCCAAGCTGCGCGCAGGACCCAAGAGACAAGGCTGATCATGGTGCCGAGGAGGGCGATCACTCCCGACGCTCGAGGCGAGCCACTGGAGCCGCGCCCAGTAGCGGATACAATTGTACCCACCCATAGCGCTCACCATGCCTATGAGGTAAGCGATCCCCTGATGGAGCATTGCACCCAGCGCATGCCCAACCTTCTCGCCCAGCCTCTTGAGCGCCGCCTCGAACCATGCGCTGGCGAATGCAAGCCCGCCTGGCTCGGCGCTGACCCTCCCTGGTACAGCTCCGTAAAGGACGACCTGGAGGTGGATGCGCATCCTCAGCTGCCGCGCTCTCCCCTCCTCCAGCCGGCGGCTCCCCCGGCGGCAGCGGTGGCGCCAGCGCCCGCTGCGAGCGAGTGGCGCTGCCCGTCGATCGAGGCTCCGTCACCGCCAGACGCCGCTGTAGGGCGGGCGGCTGCTGCTCGCCCGCCCGAGGTCGTTCCTACTCTCTCGGCATCGCCCTCTCCTCGAGCAGCGGCCCGGGCACAGCTGGCGCCGCGGGCTGCATCTTTGGGGGCGGGTTCGGCGCCACCCCGTCCTCGTAGTAGTACACGAGGTAGTAGCACTCCTCGTGGCTGGTGGCGCGCCCGCCCGAACTGGCCACGGTTGGCGGCGGGCTCGTAGTCGAGGGCGCCTCAAGCTGTGGCGCCGCCGCCTCCTCCGGCTGCTCCGCCTCTGCGGGCAGCGCGGGGTCGGCTGGCTGGCCTTCCGCACCCTCCTCTGCGCAGCTGCTCGCCGCGCCTGGCTCCTCCCGCGCGTGGCCATCGCTCGGCCCTGGCGCGTAGCTGGCGGAGGCCGCGAAGGCAGCCGACAACCCCACGCCCAGGGAAGCATCTAGCCACCCGAGCGTGGTCTCCAGCGCGGTGGAGATCACGCACTTCACGGATACGTGCCGCATCACCAGCACCTCCATGTTGCCTCTGCCCCTTCAAGCCGCGGGCTCCTGCAAGGCGTCCGCCGCGGGCCGCGGGGTTCCCCTCCAGAGCTCCCGCCTGCACTGGATGGGGGGACCTGGCCCAGCCACTACCCAGCACTCCTCGGACTGCCTGGCTGCGCCGCAGGCTGGGCCAGCGAGCTATGGCCCCGCCCGCCCACCTCAAAAAAAGGAACCACTGGCCTCGCCAGAGGCCTTGAGCAGAGAGTACGGAAGGAAAAGGGACACAGAGAGGGGGAGGCTGCGAGAAGTGTGGAAACCTGCTGGTCCAACGAACGTCTAACTCCTCCTCCTCCTCCTCCTCCTCCTCCTCCTCCTCCTCCTCGTGCTGTTCCACCGCGTCCTCCGCCTCCTCCTCCTGCTCCGCCTCCCCCTCCTCCTCCACGTCCTCCTCCTTTTCCTCCTCCTCCTCCTTCTCGTCGTGGTCTCAAGGGTCGGCGGCGCTGGCCGTAAGGCCTTCACAATAAAACGCACCTGCGCCGAATTTTCTACACTCTTACCTGTCTCCGGTGTCTCCCAGATGCCACATCGCCTAACCATCACGTGTGTCGTATCTGCGAGAACTACGACGGCTGAGCCGATCGAGACGCCAACCGACAGAGGTCTGCTCTGACATTTCCACAGCTCCTTCGTGAGGCACGGTGTCTGGAGTTATGCCATTCCTATTGAACTGCTTGTTTGTCTGTCATGTCGGCAACCTGGGTTCAGTGTCGACCCCCCGTTTCGTGCAACATGGAGCCGCGGCGCTGTTTGAGCCATCACATATACTGCCCCCAAACGAAGTGACCAATGTCTTCGAGTGAGGGCCCTGTCAACTGCCAACGCAACATTCCTGGTGCTGCAATCTGCATCTTCGGCGGAAAGCTCCGCCTGACGGTCTGCTGTGGCTATCTCCCTCCCGCAGCGTCCTCAGCCGCGCAAGTATAGAACGCTGTGTCCTCAAGGGAGGGGGCGGATCAAGGAGCTACGATCTGGTGACATGGCCGTGCCTATCTTTCACAACGCATGATTGACCCCTCTCGGAACTCATCTCAACATGCGCCATGGAAGAAAATAGCGAAACACGCCGCTCATTTCATCACAACACGAACAACGCGCGCACGAGGTCAATACTGGACATGCCAAACTGTTTCCGACGTACACTTTAGACACCTCCGACATCGGCGCATGCCCATTACACGTCTAACGATGCATTCGGATTGCGAATACGAAAGCATACGTCACATTGCTACTAAGAGGAGTGCGCAGGAGCACACCGATCACCTATCAGGAGGGACATTTGTTGTCAGGCCGTCGTGGCCGCCGAAAAGAATCAACACGTATATTGTGTGCATGGCTTATTCCGCCTTAGGTGCTGGCAGTTTGCCGCAAACTGATGTGGGCCAGCCGATCGACTATCAGTCTACACAAAATTCAACGGACTGCGCCTACCGAAATCAACGCACAGTGCTCATGCATCCACCTCTCGATCCTCTTCACATTCCTCCTCCTGTTTCTCACCCAAGCACCAACTCACCAAGGCACGCCGCCAATCGAGAACGCTAATCCCATCAGCCTTCTGGGCGCAAGTGGTTGTGGCGATTCTCTTCTCAACTGCCCTTCGCCCCCTTCGAGGATGATGTGCCCCTCCCCCTACCCCATCACGGGGCTCCACCCATCCTCCATTCTCTCCATCTCTCTCCCTACCTTCCCGAACCTTCTCTCTACCCCCTCTACCCACCAACTTTTTCTTTGCCCCGCACTCACCCCTTCCTCCACAGCTCTTAGAGGGCCCCAAAAGGGATATGGGGATCTGAAGACTACCAACAATCCCTAAGAAAGTCTCGAGAGGGTCGAAAGTGCATCAGGCCCAAAGAGGTCCTCAAAACGCTTCGACCTCCTCTTTGTTTCATCAACGCTCTACCACTTCCCCTCTCGCGTCAACTCGCCTACGAATGATTTCTGGATGGGCTGGTGAGGATACGCGAAGCGCCAGAAGTTTCTTGACCTTCACGCGTCCCCAATAACCTGTGTGTGCCGCATCATGGAAATATTGTCCGCTCCCGGGCGCTTCTTGGAACTCCCCTGACCGACCTGTCACGTGACACGTATGGAGAGGCCTCGGGATCCCTTCTTACTCCTTCCAACCTCATCTTCTCCCTCCTTCTCCCTCCCATACTCAGACTCACTCACACTCGGTGCAAGCATGGCAATACTCACCTGCACGGGCCCACTCATATTCATATTTACTCAGACTCACGCGCGCTCAGAGCATTTACGTGTAGACTCATGTACACATTTGTTCACTCATACATCAGGCCCGCTCATATTCAGACCAGCTTGCGCTCATACTCACTCACGCACAGGCCCACTCATTGTCGATTCAATCATCTTCAGATTGCTCTTACCTGGCCTCACTGACACTCAGACTTAATCATGCTCCGACTTAGTCATGAGCAGACTCAGCCATACTCGCCACTCAGAGTCATGCTCACTCTTACGCAGAGCCTCATGATCATCGCCGTCTAGCAAGCATGGCATTTTGGGCATACCGAGGGGTAACCGCCATGAGGACCCGACCACCACCAGATTGACGGGACCTCTGTCATAATCCCACCAACCATTCAGGGCGTATGTGGTTTAACTGCATGTGTTAGTCGTTCCAACCCCCTTCTTGCCCTTCGGGGAGCGGTTCATCACTGTTCCTTCTGGATCCACCACCGTGCCTGCACGATGTGGGCGTGTTAAAATGCCATGTGCTGCTCTGTAGACTCTGTCTCATTACGAGAAGGGGCTCCCTCCCCTCTCGCCGCACCCAATTTCATGCTGCCCCCACCCCTAGCCCCCGATGCCACGATTCCTATGAAACGATCGATGGCTCCGCTCTCCCGAGGCCACGATTCCTTGCAAACCACTGTGTGTCCGCATCCTGGATTCCCAAGGCAGCCCCAGGCAACAGAAATCGCCAAACATGCCTTGACGACGAGCCGAGATGGCCCACAGGCTGCCGATTATGGCCTCAAGACGGCCCAATCTGCCTCCACGAGAGCCCCAGGGTGGACCTCTAATCAGGCCCGAAGAAACTAAAATCATGGATCTCCCCGTAGGTTTTTGAATAATGCTCGCACTCTCGCATTTTCGCGTCCCCGTCAGCTCAAGGCACTCCAAGAAACCTCCACGATTGCCCTAAGACGGTCCAAGGGGACCCGACAGGGGGCCAAAGATGGCCCAAGAGGACCCCACGAGGGCCCAAAAGGAAAGGCATCCAAAACGGCCCCAAAACTGCCCAAGTGGGCCTCCCGTGGGACCCAAGACGACCTCAGTGTCCTTTTGACGGACCAAGACGGCGCCAAGACGGCTCGACGGCCCCCAACCACCCACCATACTGCCAATGTGGGCCCAAGACCCAGGACGGCCCAAGAGAGCAACACAATGACCCACAAAGACCTCAAGACGGCCGACGAGTGCGCCAAGAACCCTCCAAAACTGCATCACAGTGGCCGACGAGTGCGCAAAGAAACCCCCGCAATTGCATCACAGGAGGCCAATGAAGCCACAACACGGCCCAAACGAATTCCGTGACAACTCCTCGAGTAATGAAGGCGAAACGTGTCACCTGTGACGGCCTTCCTCTTCCTCCTCCTCCTCCTCATCATCATCATCATCACGGCTCTCCGAGCCTGGAGACTCGAGGTGTCACACGTGACGGCCTCCCGTGCCCCTTTGAACAGTCGCCACCCAAAATGCTAGGCTGGCACGGCGGCGGGACTTGCCGCAGGCAGCTGTATGTACACCCCCTCTGCCACTCGACCTGCTCCTAACCCGAGTCAATGCCAACATTCTCCCCACCATCCCTGTCAAACAACCAATGCACATGCCCTTTGCAACAACATCTGGATTACGCTCGTGCGTCCCACTATAACGTTGTACTGGCACGGGGGGGGGGGGTAGCACATTGCCTCACGGGTGCGGACCCGCACGTGGCAACAACAACCAATGCAAATTGATCGTTGCGGCAAAATCGTGGACCATGCGCTGGCGCCCCAGGATCATTTCGGATTGATATTTGAAATGAAGGTGCCAAGCCACGCTCGGCGTACATCGCGGGGGTCGCGCACCTGGCTGGCGTCTGCATCGGTTCCCGATGGTTGTCGATGATGGCCCCTGCCGATGCTGAGACCCGGGTACTACGAATGTGCCAGGAGGGCTGGTGGGAGTGAGCGAGACGTCCGTCCTTCGGGGGTTTAGTTTGATCGCTGTCCTTTCTTAAACTGCACCTCTCCCCCACCCGACCAGCCGCAAATCTGGGCCAATGCGCCCCCCCCTCGCCATTCCTATCAAAAACAAGATAAACCACACATTGCGGCAAAATCTAGACCGTGCGCGGGCGTCCAGTGAGCACTTTGCACAAGTTCTAGGCAAGGGCGGCGGCTGTGCAGCCTACCAGTTCTGTCAAACCACAATGCAAAATACAAGTTGCGGCGAAATCTGGACCATACGCGGGCGCCCCATGATCACTTTGCAATGCTTTCCCAACCATCCTGTGGTATTGGGTCCTCGTTGTGACAGGACAGCGTCCCTCGTTCCTCACTCCTCCTCCCTCTCTCCTCCTCCTCCTCCTCCTCCTCCTCCTCCTCTTTCTCCTCCTCCTCATCACAATCAGAATCATCATCACCCCCACCACCACCATCATCATCATCATCATCGTCGTCGTCGTCGTCGTCGTCGTCATCGTCATCATCATCATCATCCGCAGCATCATCATCATCATCATCATCATCATCATCATCATCGTCGCCATCATCATCAGCATCGTCATCGTCATCGTTATCAACGCTTCGTGGCTCCATGAAGGGGCTCCATCGAAGGCCCCAACGGCAAAGTTCGCATGGTGGCCCCGTCACATTTCGGCGCACCTCTCGAACGTTTCGTGGCTGTATAGGGAGCTCCACCGAAGGCCCCAATGGCAAAGTTCGCATGGTGGCCCCGTCACATTTCGGCGCACCCCTCACACGCTTCGTGGCCCCATACGGAGCTCCACTGGAGGCCCCAATGGCAAAGTTCGCATGGTGGCCCCGCGCCATTTCGGCGCACCCCTCACACGTTTCGTGGCCCCAGAGGGAGCTCCATCGACGGCCCCAATGGCAAAGTTCGCATGGCGGCCCCGCCCAATTTCGGCGCACCCCTCGTGGCCCTCTAAAGAGCTCCACCGAAGGCCCCAATGGCAAAACTCGCGTGGCGCCCCGCGCCCCATTTCAGCACACCCCTCACACGTTTCGTGGCCCTATAAGGCGTTCCCCCGAAGGCCCCATGGCAAGGTTCGCGTGGCGCCACCGCACCCATGTCGGCACACCCCTCACGCGTTTCGTGGCCCTGCAGGGAGCTCCACCGAAAGCCCCACTGGCAAGGTTCGCATGGCGCAACCGCACCAATTTCGCCACGCCCCTCAGCTTCGTGGCCCCGCAACGAACTCCACCGAAGGCCCCAGTGGCAAAATTCGCATGGCGCCACCGCGCCAATTTCGGCACACCCGCCGCGCGTTCCGTGGCCCCACAAGGAGCTCCACCGAAGGCGGGGCTCACAACTCCGGTACTCACAAGTGCATATGGTTGGGCCACTCGCCAAAAAAAATTGGCAGGGACGGCGGCGGTGCCATCGACATCTCCTCTCTGCGCAGACCCACCATCCCTGTCAACGCACAATGCAGAATGCAATGTGTGGCAGAAATTGGTTCACGCGCTGGCGCCCCGCAGCCATGCTGCATCGGTCTTTAGCAGGGGCGGCTTACTGCCCTCGTGATGTCTGCTCTGTGCTTCCGACGGGGCTCATGAACTCAATGGGATCGGGGCCCCAGGCTCGAGCAACGCCGGTTGCGGCTTGGGGTAGCTCGACCCCTCCCCCTATCCCCTCCCATGGGTCAGGGCGGGGGCGGAGGGCCCGAGCGGTCAGGGGGTCCAAT